CAATGGCTAATTAGAAGGATACGTAAATCATTGGCATGTATTTATTTTATGGGACAGCATGTTTCGGTGCTTCAGTTATCTTCAGGGACGTCATAGTGTGCAAAAGAGTAATGCAATAGTACACAGAGTTCTATGGTTCCTACTTTGAAATGGCAAACGTGTTTATTCTTGAAAGTTATCGTTAAGTTTTAGTACGAATAAGTCATTTTATATGTTGAAGCTAAATGAATTTAGAAGAAAAATAAATAAATTGCTTTTTTCCTGTAGATAACATTCCCACGCTATTAGTAAGAGGGAGCAATGAGCTCAAATGTGGGTTAAATTCAGTACGCTAGTCTACCAGATGAGGAGAACGAGAAAAAGAACATTCCATAGGCTGTCTAAGCTTCAACTTCACCAATGCAGAAATTATGGCTGAAACTACCTACTCTCTATTTCCTTTTCTAAAAATTGTCGCATCATATATCATTATATCACAATGATTCGTAAATACGTGTGAGTGTATTTAGCAAATTTTGACAATTACTGATTTCCTGTCTTCCTTGTTTACTCATAAGGCTTAATTGAACAACCTATATGACATCGAATTAATTCGAAAAATTTTGGTACCATATGTAGCAAGCACGCAAGGATTGCAAACCACCCTGCTCATTCGATATGGTGCTCAGATTTTTCTTAATTGCTCATCTGTTTAAAAGATAGCATGTTCAACTTTACCATTGTAATAAAAAAAGTTTAAATTCATTTCACTCTTGAAAAATATAACGATGATGAATACGTAATCTAAAGTGATATATTGCGAACTAAACACATTAGAAGATATTACATTATAAGCAGCAGGGACAATACTGTTCATGAGTACAGTTGTAACCTTGCTCACTTGCGATAACCGTAGAAGGTCGAGGCCCTAAATGTGCAGACATTGGGATTAAAAGTGCAACATGCTTTTGATCGCATACCAAGCCCGATCCCAATTGTTATTAAACAAGCCGTTTGGGCCATATTTATCCCCATAGGGATTGCCGTATTTGTGTGGGTAATCATATGGATTCCGAGATCCTTGGTGCGAGTCATAACCTCCGCCATAGTAACCTCCGCTTCCATAGTACCCGCCTAGATAGTCTCCACCTGGA